CCTGGATTATCAACACTAGCTTGTAAATGGCTGCATCCGGGAGAATGTAAGTTAACTGTAAATAGCATAATTGGATCAGATCTTCGACCCGAGCGATTATAACCTGCGAGCGTCCTGTTGGTTTTAAGCATCTAATATGTCGAAACAGGCTGTAAGGGATTGTAAAGAAGTTTATCCAAACCGTTCGTGTGTATCGGAGACAATGATACTATTGATTTGGATTATTCAAATTGTCAGTCAGACATGTGTGGACCACATTAAAACACTTCCAAAAATGCAAAGGGTCTTTGGATGCTGTAAATTGCAAGCCGGCCAGTGACACCCCCCCCCCCCCTCCCTCCCCCTCCCATTCTCCTCCCATTCCCTTTTCTCCCCCCTCTCATATTTAATATTTAATCAGTACAGTACAGTGCAGACAATATGGCATTTAGATACACGTAGGTTATCGACCCGGAACTTACAAAACACATGTTCATTTTGTAACGGATTTAAACTTGCTCTCACGTGTACTGTTAAAACTTATCGCCGCATTCTATAATACACAAATTTCCCAGAAAATTTCTGATAAAAGTTTGGCGTTTGGTGATTGGACAAAGATACACCCGAATGACGTCATGAGAAGGAACTACAAGTCCTATTGGAAAAGTGTTCGATTGCATTTTTCTAAGTTTATTCTTAAAGGAAATGAGCATCACTCCCTGCCATCAAGTGCTATTTTCGAAAGTTGCTAAGTTTTATGATGGCGCAGTTATATTGCTTTAGGGTAGTAAGGGTGTGCCCTGCTTTGCTATAAATTCAATAGTTACAGTACTCTTAATATAGTGCAGATAAAAAAAAAATTTGAATTGGGGACGTTCTTAGTCGTAAAATCTTTCTACCCAAGGTAGTCGCAGAAGGTAAAAAAAATTCTTAATGTAATGTTCTCACTTGAATACAAATTATACGTTTTGCATCGTTATTTTGGGCGTGTAGTTAGGGTCAAAGGCGAAAGGGAATAGTTTGTGGGGCTAGCTCCTAGCTGTAGTTCCCTATTCAACTTGTAGTAGCTCACAATGTTATATAAATCTATGTATACCAAATAGGCAGTCGTTTGTTCTTTGTATGTACCAGTGGGCTGATGATATGGAATACAGTTTTTAAAATAAAGCTGAGCGCTTAAGTGAGCTTGAATCCACTCTGCGAATGTGTTTGAACTCTTTTAAAGAGACCACACATCTCAAAATATTCATGTGGTATATACTAGATGCATACTGTTTTTCGTTGGTCAGTGCCTTTATGGGGAATTTATATATCACATACAATGCTGTCGCTTAGAAACAAGGTCTTTAGTGGCCTAGACCGGTGCTTTTGTGAGAAATTCATTATCAAACATGGGTTCCTATGTATTATGTACGTATATGTTGCCAAGATACAAGATATCAAACGTGTCTTGTGTTTTTGTATGAATCGCATTTAGGCTTCACATAACAGCTTGTAATGTTTCCTAGAAACAATTCATATTGTCACCTGGGCCAGTGCTTTTATGGAAATACCTGGTAATGGTGTGTACATGACCATATGTACACAAATGCATCCGAAATGACCTGGGCCAGTGTTTTTATGAGGATTTGATCCTCATCTGTATCTAACACAAACTTAGCGTGGTGTTTTATGTACATGTTAAAAGTTTTATGTAAATAGTCTAACAGTAAACAGTATTTAGTTAGTATTATTACCAATCACGCCTGGGGCCTAACTTACTACCAATCAAATTGTCGTCTGCCCTATTCTCCTCTCTCACCAAATACATTGACGTCTGTTCTCCTCACGTGCATTAATTCCATTGTGCAAAAGTCAAAAGTTATTCAAATATATTAAGTATTTCTATTGTTTTTTTTATAATTTTGTTTAAGAAATGACAGATTGAAAAAGCGGATGGAAATAACGTGTCTATTCAACCGGGCGTTATAGAAGATATTCACCGGTTGACAATGATATACCACGGTGATATATCACAGTAAAGCAGACGACAGTTTTAAAACGACACGGTAAGAAACGTTTAAATTAAATTCAGGGAAATTGTAATTAGATCAGGTGTACAGAAGGTAGTCAGTTAAAATGACAATATCAAACGGAATTATTCTTTTGTTTTTCATGAGAATGATAATTAGAAGTGAATTCGTGAATTATTGATGCGTGGATAAATTTCTGAAATATTTTGAATTCTATGTGTTGTAGATTTTATAGGTTATTGAGCAGGTTAGATCGTTTTTTTTTCCTTTTTTTTTGTGTTAATTTAGGGTATTATAAAATTCCATAAAAAGATATAGGCATCATATTAACTTTACCAGCTGATAGAGCTCAATTTCAGCTATATATATAGACGTCTAAATATTTACTATACCAGCTGATCGAACTCAATTTCAGCTATCTGTATAGTCATCTAAATATTTTACTTTACCAGCTGATAGAACACAATTTCAGCTTTCTGAATAGTCATCTAAATATTTACTTTATCAGCTGATAGAACTCAATTTCAGCTTTCTGTATAGTCATCTAAATATTTACTTTACCAGGAGATAGAGTTCAATTTCAGCTATCTGTATAGTCATCTAAATATTATTCACTTTACCAGCTGATAGAACTCAATTTCAGCTATCTGTATAGTCATCTAAATATTTACTTTACCAGCTGATAGAGCCCAGTTTCAGCTATCTGTATAGTCATCTAAATATTTACTTTACCAGCTGATAGAGCTCAATTTCAGCTATCTGTATAGTCATCTAAATATTTACTTTACTGATAGAACTCAATTTCGGCTGTCTGTATAGTCATCTAAATATTTACTTTACCAGCTGATAGAACTCAATTTCGGCTGTCTGTATAGTCATCTAAATATTTACTTTACCAGCTGATAGAGCTTAATTTCAGCTATCTGTATAGTCATCTAAATATTTACTTTACCAGCTGATAGAGCTCAATTTCAGCTATCTGTATAGTCATCTCAATATTTACTTTACCAGCTGATAGAACTCAATTTCAGCTATCTGTATAGTCATCTAAATATTTACTTTACCAGCTGATAGAGCTCAATTTCAGCTACCTGTATAGTTGTCTAAATATTTACTTTACCAGCTGATAGAGCTCAATTTCAGCTATCTGTATAGTCATCTAAATATTTACTTTACCAGCTGATAGAGCTCAATTTCAGCTATCTGTATAGTCATCTAAATATTTTTTTACCAGCTTATAGAACACAATTTCAGCTATCTGTATAGTCATCTAAATATTTACTTTACCAGCTGATAGAGCTCAATTTCAGCTATCTGTATAGTCATCTAAATATTTACTTTACCAGCTGATAGAACTTAATTTCAGCTATCTGAATAGTCGTCTAAATATTTACTTTACCAGCTGATAGAACTCAATTTCAGCTATCTGTATAGTCATCTTAATATTTATGTTACCAGCTGATAGAGCTCAATTTCAGCTATATATATAGTCGTCTAAATATTTACTTTACCAGCTGATAGAGCTCAATTTCGGCTGTCTGTATAGTCATCTAAATATTTACTTTACCAGCAGATAGAGCTCAATTTCAGCTATCTGTATAGTCATCTAAACATTTACTTTACCAGCTGATAGAGCTCAATTTCAGCTTTCTGTATAGTCATCTAAATATTTACTTTACCAGCTGATAGAGCTCAATTTCAGCTATCTGTATAGTCATCTAAATATTTACTTTACCAGCTGATAGAGCTCAATTTCAGCTTTCTGTATAGTCATCTAATTATTTACTTTACCAGCTGATAGAGCTCAATTTCAGCTATCTGTATAGTCATCTAAATATTTACTTTACCAGCTGATAGAGCTCAATATCAGCTTTCTGTATAGTCATCTGAATATTTACTTTACCAGCTGATAGAGCTCAATTTCAGCTATCTGTATAGTCATCTAAATATTTACTTTACCAGCTGATAGAGCTCAATTTCAGCTTTCTGTATAGTCATCTAAATATTTACTTTACCAGCTGATAGAGATCAATTTCAGCTTTCTGTATAGTCGAATAGCATGAATAGTTACTCTTCCAGGCGATAAGCTGTAATAGCAAGCATATTTTTGGCCATCTAATAATTATGTATGACTGAAAGGGAAATAACTCGAGAAGATGAAAACAGTGAAACACCAACATCCTTCACACAATTAAATTTACTGACAGTTTTTCATATTAAAGTTGTTTTATTGATAATTATTTCGTAAGGTAGTTTGATCGAATGGTTTATAATAGTCTAGAGGTTCAAGTTAGGATGGTCAATGAATTGTTTAATGTTTTGTCGTTTCCTGGTTGGACCATTCAATATTTCTGAAAAGCTTAAAGTGTTTTTTTTTTTTTTGATCTGTTGGTGAATTTAAGTGTACATATTTTGCCCTTCCCGAGTTTTTATCCACGTGTCTCATGCATGTACCTGAATTAGGTTATTTATATGAGGATATGAATCCCTGTTTTATTTTATAGCTCTAGTAAAGGACGGAAAGATGTAAAATTCCATTTAATTTCATTTGTATTTAAGTTCTTTAGAGATGAGTTCTCTTATTCCATCAAAGTCTATGTGGTTATGTGCCACAGGTTTGAATTTTCAGCAAAGATAGACATAATACTCTTATACAGTATTTAGGCTTACAATTCTCAAGAGTAACTTTCCACCTATTCAACTCAGGTCATTGAGTACAGTGGGCAGTGGTGTTTCTATGATTTGTTGGGTGAGGCTCGAGTTACAGGGGCCACAGAGGGACCAGAGCACTAGACATTTATGAACGGAATGATAAGATGTTGTGAGTGGTTAGAGGGTAAGGGAGGGTCGGGCAAATAAGGGTCCGTCTTATTTCTGGCATGCTCCCACCCCTGTAGAAACACCAGTGGCAAAGGGTTCGAATCTCCTACAATACCACTAAACTTATCTCTTCATATTATATATTACAGATTGTACACAATGAATAAATAAACAACAAGATATATCATAATGCACTTCTTCACCTGTTTATTATCATTTCTATTGATCTCGCCGCTAATTACAGGTAAATATTGTTTATCTATTTCTCCGTCATAATACACGGAAACATCTTCCTAATATTGACGAATATTGGCCAATGTATCAAATAATCATTCGATATTATCGGTTTCAACTAGCTAGGTGATTGTGACACGATAGCAATGAGCCACCATTGACTCCAGACTATGCTGCCCAACAACATAGTAGAATGTGACACGATAGCAGTGAACCACCATTGATTTTAACTATCGTGTATTTTAACTATAGCTAGCAGTTGGTCCAGAGATAATCTATAATGTTTACAGTCTGTCTGTTTCGAGGGCTATGATAAGCTGTCTTCGCTGGCGTACAATCAAATCAAATCACCTCAGGATACAGGAAAGATGGTTAGTGCAGTCAAGGTATAGGACGAAGTTCGTAATAGCTAGACATTGTACCTATGTAATATTTATGATATGTTTTTGTTTTTACAGTATGTAATGCTGAACCAAGTTCACTTCCGGTCCAAAGATTTGATGGTTATTTTAACAATGAACAGAGACCGGAAGTAGGCAGTGCAGGTACAGTTCACTTGTAGATAATTCTTGGTTAATTCTCTCAATCATTCGAATCGGCTCACGGAAACTAACGAACATAGGCGAAGTTGAGCCGAATGTTATCTCGATATCTCCACTTAATGGTTAATATTCGAATGACAGATATACATGCCATAATCGAATTCCTTGACCCCAAAAACATATGTATATGTTTATTTTGTGTGTCTACTACTGGACATACTAACCTCCCAAAAAACTGATTTGTCAACTCAGTAAACATTTCAGAGAGTCCACATAGCTAATACTGGTATTTGTAATTTGGTAATCTAGTTTTGAGTGTCCACATAGCTAATAACGATATTTTGAAAATTTTCATAATCTTAATCATTTCATATCTATTTCAGGTCGGCATATAGCTAGAAATATTACCACGAATTATAGAGACCATACTTACTTCCCCTCGGGATGGGACAGACCCAACCCTCGCAGTATTTCGAATATTTTATTTAAGGGTCCGACGGGGCTGCCTTCCTACCATCGCAGATCGGCTCTATTCAGTTTCTTTGGTAAGTTCAGATCAGGTTGAATTACAATATTTTCTTCAGAGATGAAATGAATATCAAACCATTTTGGCAATGCTTCTTACAAAAGTATCCATTTACATCTGTGGTGTGTAGAATATTGAGGGAAATATATCACACAGTTCAAGTTTACTAATCTCACATGGATAAAGATTACAAAGATCTTATCACTGAATTATTTCCTTTCTTTCCACCTTCCAGGTCAGTTTGTCATGAGAGAAGTACTGGATACAGACGACACGACCTGCCCTGTCGAAGTTATCCAGACCCACGTTCCACGCTGTGACCCCGACTTCGACCCTGATTGTCATGGTAACCAGGTGATGCCGTATGAAAGATCGGCGTATGATAAAAGGACTGGACAATCTCCAAATAACCCAAGAAAACAGGTAAGCTGTTTCAAAATTTTTTTTAATTACCTCTGTCTTTTTCTTTCGCATTCATTCATTCATTCATTTATTCGTTCACTCACTCACTCACTCACCAATTTATCTATTCATTCATTCATTCATTCAATTTCAGATAAACAAAGCGTCGTGTTTTATAGACGGTAGTGTAGTATATGGAACTAATGCAGTTCGTAGTTCCTACCTACGAGAACCAGGTACAGGAAAACTCTACTGTGAAGATATCTGGGGGAAATTCCCTAAACTAAACGATGTACAAATGGCTTTTACTAATTTCCCTGGACAAAAACATAAATATAAAGATCAGTCAAAACTCTGGAGTAAGTAAAAGGTTGTTCTTTATCTTTTGAAAAGGTACCTCATTACTGATGTTCACATACCTGGTGTCGCGTTTTCAATTGAAAGTGTAACATAAATCCTTATATCTACCACAGATTTACAGCATTTCTCTTATTGTACACTACACGGCGTTGTACCAACAAACCAATCAGTGGCAAAAACGTAAGAAAGAAACCCCATTTGATTCCATTTTCAGGAATGGGAGACACACATATCTACGAGAATCCAGGACTTCTGTCTCTAGGTCTGGTATTCTTTCGTTACCATAACTACCAAGCCGACCAGATTATGTTGAAGAACCCCCAGATGTCGAATAATGAAGTATTTGAACGAGCGAGAAGATGGGTCATCGCAACTTTACAGGTTCCACATTTTTTGTTTTTACACATTTAAGATTCCTCGGCAGTTGGAAACTGAAAAAAAAAACGAAAAGGAAAGTCGAAGTCTAATGCTATTGCCCTGGCAAAATTTCACTCATTGCACACTTCATGATGTTGCCAATCTTCATTAGCTTTACTAGATGCAGAAACGTAGGACGTACAATTCCATTTCATTTCCCTTTAATTTTCTCCTTTCAAAAAATTCGAGTTTTGTTATTTCAGAAAATAATCATGTATGATTGGTTGCCATTGTTACTGAATGAGAATGTACAGAATTATACAGGTGAGTACTACCTTCTGTTTTATATCACCAGAAATACTTCTCAGTTGTTAACTAGTTTGATCAGATACCATAATTATGAAGTCTCTTTGTTGGACGGACAGTGCTGTAGACCTATGGAATGTTTTCTTACTTCGATTATTTATCCTGCCAAGATCATTTTAGACAAGATTCTAGATTGGTTCTTAAAGGGATTGTATAGGTTTTCAACTTTTAATGTGTATCAGGAACTCTGATATCATTGACTTGCACCATGCTATTTTTCAATCAGACGTCTGTGATTTTTGTTATTCTTTTAAAAACGTCACGTTCGTAGAAGCTGCTAATAATAACTTAGTATATTTGAGATAGTGACCTAGTCTGTAATTAGTTGTCAATGTTTGTATTTTCTGTAGGTTATAAACCTCGGGTACAGAGTGAAGTAACAGATATATTTGACGCAGCCGCAATACAATACATCCAAACACTGATACCACCAGCCATATACCAACGTACCAATAAATGTGAATTTCTGAAAGTAGGAAAATCCAAGGCTGGTAGATTATGCAACTCTTATTGGGACTCGAAGGTAAGAATTTAGAAGAAAATAGCTTGTTTGTGGGTACATGTATTTAGGTATCTATGTCAACTCGCCATCACCTTCAGAGAGTTCATATAGTTAATATTGTTTATTATTTATTTTGATTTGTCAACTTGTTACCCTTTCAGAGATCACTCATAGCTAATAGATATTTAATTTATTTACCTATCTTTGTAGTAAGATCTCATATTCGCTATGACCCCAAATCTTAGTTGTTTTGTGAAGGTTTCAAGAGAAAGATAAGTTGTATTTAATATTAAACTTCCAGGACGTAGTAAACGTTAATGGTTTAGAGAAGATTTTATTAGGTTTAACATCTCAGATAGCAGAACGAGAAGACCATGTTATAGTCGAGGATCTGAGAAGTAAGGTTCATCTTTCTTTTATTGGAATTATTCATTTAAAGGGGTTGTAAAAAGGATTTCTAAACGGGCTTTTGTCAACCGTCAGTTGTTCCGATAGTAGAAACCTAAATAACGAATATATTAACAGAACTGAGTACTAACTAGAACTGTGAACAGCTCTGAGTATGGAATAAGACCTTCTAGCTATCAACACCCGTCGTTTTTCAGTTTACCATTACATCAAGCAAAATTCCATTTTATTGATAGATCTTTTTTATTACATCCAGGTAAATTTTACGGTCCGTTGTTCTACTCCCGACACGACTCGGCCATGTTGACCATATTGAAAGGTCGTGATTACGGGCTACCTGATTATAATACAGCTCGTGTTAAGATGGGATTAGAACCAATCAAAAACTGGACTGATGTTAATCCGGAGCTGAATTCTACTGTAAGTTACTAAAATAGTTAATCTATACTGATTCATACTGAAATCATACTGAAACAAAGGCATTGGGCATAGTGAGGTACAAACTACAGAATCACTCACTTTCAAGGACAGAGATTGGTCTCACGTTAAATTTGCAGAGAGAGCATTGTAATTTTAAGATGGTCAACAAATTATTTCTCGGTTATTTTGGCACACTTGTCACTGGCCACAATTCGTGGTTTTTGATCACTGGTCAAACCTTTGTTTCAAGGATAGTAAGTCGAGTGTAGAAGGCTCTTCAGGATCTCCAGACTTGGCTTACTTTGATTATTCGCTGTAACCAAGAAAATCAGATTCAACATCTAACTTGAACTAAAACTCTTTTCAATCTTGCTCATTTTGCAGCTGATATCTGAATTAAAGATGCTACACCACGATAAATTAGACAAGATTGATATATTTACTGGTGGCTTGTTAGAAACGACTAGAAACGGACCCGGAGAACTCTTCCGTCATATTATTATAGATCAGTTTCTACGGTTACGTGATGGGGATCGATTCTGGTTTGAAAATAAACAAAATGGGTAAGTTGTGTTTATGTAGGTCTATGGTTCTCAACGGTGGGTCTTAACCACAGTAATCGGTTTACCATTTCAGTCGGTGATTAACTTCTGATATTTCTGAGAAATGACAGACAAAGGTTTCCAAGGTTTGGGAACCTAGTGTAGGTTATAGACTAATTTAATTATATTTTCCTTCCAGTATATTCAGTGAGGAAGAAATTAAAGAAATCCACAAGATAACTTTAAACAATGTTATTATATGGACTAGTAATGAAATAGAAGCTGAACATTTAGATCGGGATGCTTTCACTGTGTCCAAGGGTAAGTCGAGCTGTGGGAGAGGGCAGGGTGGTTCTTTGCACCTGGGATAAGTGGGGGACTAGTAGAGATGGCAGGTGGTTTTTAGGGTAAATTTAATGGGGAGGGGATATCTTTATGAAATAAAATGGACTAGTAAGGATATTCAGGCTGCAATAAAGAGCATGATGCTTTCACTGTGTCCAAGGGTAGGTCGAGGGTGGGACAGGGCATGAGGTTTTTCCTGTGTCCAGGGTTAAATTGAGGAACTGAGAATCATCTATATCTGAGCTGATGAGTCTTCTACCTCATGTCTGTAACCAAAAACAAAGGGTCGTTTTGACTGTACGACTATGCTTTAAACCATGTGCAATCCTGGTATAGTATGGTTTAAGCCCATGCTGAAGAAAGCTTAAAGCCGATCATATACAGGTATTGTTATTTTTCAGATCATCCGTGTCCCCAACCAGAACAGTTAACAGAAGATCAACTAGACGAGTGTCCTAAACATGTAGGATATGATTTTTTCTCGGGCAGTGAAATACCTTATATTATAATCTGGACTTGTATGGGACTGATTCCTATTGGTAAGACAGAGTTTTGTATTTTTACCAGGATGTTGAGGAAGGGAAGCTGCGAGAACGCACAGTGTTTTGCTGATTTTGAAACAGGAAATGATGAAAGCTTTGTTGAGCTAGAAAATGAGGACTGTCCGATCAACTGTTTTAAAGGTATTGCCGTGTTAAATGGTGTCAAAATAACACGTTCAAACAACGAAACAGCAGAATAATGCTAAGGCTAAAAGTATTTGTCTTGTATTTGTAGCGTGTATCCTAGTAGCTGTTATCCTGGCTAAAATTAAGAAATGGAAACATAAACAGAATCTCAAGGAGGCAAAATTTGAGATGGAAAGGAAGAGAGTTTTACGTAGAACATTATCTAATAGCATAGTAGGTGAGAAAATCATTTTCATTTTTTAACTCTCAGAATTTAGGCCGAAACCACGTGTGCTACAGGCTGTGAACTTTAAAGATCCCTCGACAGTTGGACATCGAAAAGGAGTAGACTAATGCAGCTGTCCTAGCAAAAATGTCTCTCGTTCCACACTGCATAGCGTTGACTGTCGTCATTGGTCCAGTCATGAGGTGCAAAGTGGACGTAAAACTAGATTCATTTTATTTTCTCACATGCCAGTAATTTCTCGGCTATCTAATTAACTGTATGTATGTTTCAGTCCATGATACATGTGAATGGCGATGTAAGAAAGAACCCTCCAGGAATATAGAGCTACATCTAACATCTAAAGGTTCCATCGAGATCTTCAGTTTATCAGGATCACATCTTCGCTGTATTAAACTGGTAGAACATATGACCATGACTATATATCTTAGTATAAACAAAGGCAGCAATGTTATGTTAATACAGATACCTAAAGAATACGACTTGGTAAGTTTTAGGTTTGGGAGTGGGTAGGTTAAAGAAGGACGGGGTGTTGGGATTGGGTTATGGGTAAGGGTGGGGTGAGATGAAGGGACCATGACTATATATCTTAGTATAAACAAAGGCAGCAATGTTATGTTAATACAGATACCTAAAGAATACGACTTGGTAAGTTTTAGGTTTGGGAGTGGGTAGGTTAAAGAAGGACGGGGTGTTGGGATTGGGTTATGGGTAAGGGTGGGGTGAGATGAAGGGACCATGACTATATATCTTAGTATAAACAAAGGCAGCAATGTTATGTTAATACAGATACCTAAAGAATACGACTTGGTAAGTTTTAGGTTTGGGAGTGGGTAGGTTAAAGAAGGACGGGGTGTTGGGATTGGGTTATGGGTAAGGGTGGGGTGAGATGAAGGGACCATGACTATATATCTTAGTATAAACAAAGGCAGCAATGTTATGTTAATACAGATACCTAAAGAATACGACTTGGTAAGTTTTAGGTTTGGGGGTGGGTAGGTTAAAGAAGGACGGGGTGTTGGGATTGGGTTATGGGTAAGGGTGGGGTGAGATGAAGGGACCATGACTATATATCTTAGTATAAACAAAGGCAGCAATGTTATGTTAATACAGATACCTAAAGAATACGACTTGGTAAGTTTTAGGTTTGGGGATGGGTAGGTTAAAGAAGGATGGGGTGTTGGGATTGGGTTATGGGTAAGGGTGGGGTGAGATGAAGGGACTATGACTATATATCTTAGTATAAATAAAGTCAGTAATGTTATGTTAATACAGATACCTAAAGAATACGATCTGGTAAGTTTTTGCAGTAAAAATTGAACTTTGGGTTAGTAAAGTGATTGTAATCATGTCTGTTCTTGTTAAATGCCCTTCTTCCTCACTGCATTGCGTTTATCTGTCTTTATTAGCCTTATAAATGACAGAAAATACTTCATTTCATTGTTCGTTCTCTTCACTAGGTATTGGTGTTTAACAGCGAATTAAATCGAAACGTTTTTGACGAAGATTTAAGTCAGTTTTTAGCCAGTTACGAGATTGAAACCGACTTGAAGGAGAAGAAACTAAAAGATATATATTCCATGGCCATGACGAAAGAAAAACGAAACAAACAGCTTGAGAAATTCTTTAAAACTGTTTTTACTGAGGTGGGTATAACTGATATTGTATGTCCGGTTCGTGAAAGTTAAAAGCTCTACAAGGGTCTCCCTTAGCAATATATGTACAAACCTACATAATCAATTTTAAATTTATACTATTACTAACGTTTGTTAAACCAAAGAACCGAACGCCATTGAGCAGATCGAAATGAATACTACATAACTATTTAGTCACTATTAACCTCTCAAATTGCAATTGTTCTCTTACTTCCTTTCAGGCGTTTAAACTGGATTACGACCCAGCATTTGAACAGAATCAGTTAGATATGAAAACACAGAGTAAAGAAATTCTAGAGATGGAATTATCTAAGGTAGGATATCTGCCATGTAAAGAGACATCAGTTTCTGATATAAACAGTTGGCCCGGGTGTCGGTTTTATCTTTGGGTGTCGAGAATTCTCAATTCCGAAGTGTTCTTCCTCCAAGTCCAAATATCACTCTGGTGATTGGAAAATCAACTGTCTGTTAATACGGGCTCATCACATCAATAGCTGGAGGATTATTTGGATTCATGGGTTAGCTAGCAGCCTGCTAGAAGTCTGAAACACTTAGCTACAGGGACGAATATGTTGTTGATACTTATTAACAATTGTTGATATCTTGTTAATATTTGTTGATATTTTGTTAATATTTGTTGATAGTATGTCTACATTTGTTGATATTTTGTTGATAATTTTGATATTTTGTCGACATTTTGTTAACATTTGTTGATATTTGTTAATATTTATTACAGGAAGAGTTTGCCGAAGCTCTAGCAGTAAAACCAGACAGTGATTTTATCAACCATTTCTTCAGTTTAATAGACGCTGATAGAAACGGTTATATTTCATTCCGAGAATTTCTACACGCTGTAGTTCTCTTCTCGAAAGGTTCGTCATGTTTCTTCTGATCTTTCAACATGTGTTTGTACTAACCCAGAGAATTTTGCATTAATGTTATATGCATCCATGTGATTAAAAGTGACAATTTGAAGTTTGTGTCCTCAATACCCTTTCTACGTGATCCTCCCCTTGTACACTTTCGTCCACCGATACTATACAAAGATGACTGAATCACAAGCTAAATGATAGTCGGTTATCCTATAGGGTGTCGTCACCCGGTACCCAAAGGGTTTAGTGCTTGGAGTTTTGAGGAATTCAGAGGAGGTTTCCTGCAATTCCAGAAACTAGATAATTGCGTCATTAAGGTGCTGTATATTGTCAGCCTATTTTATTTTCGTTCAGATAGTCATTATTTTGTTTGATACCCTAGGTTCCTGTCAAGATAAGTTACAGACGATATTTTATATGTACGATGCCGAGGGAAGTGGTCGAATGAACAGATACAATGTCTGTAAAATGTTCTCGTAAGTAAACATTGATTGCAATCGGTGGATAATTAGAAAGTCGACACTGGACCACTATAAAAGCACTGGCCCCCTCATCAAACACCTGACATATATATCCAACGACATGTTTGCCACAAAAGGAAAAACCAAAGCTAAGAGTGTTAATTAACCTCGTTGGTAGGTGGGCGAGCATGCTCCGCCTAGCTTGAGACACCAATCAGATTTGAGAAAAGAACTTCAAAGCCAAGGCTGAAGAATGATTCCAGGAACTTCATGTTACCAAAGAACACCATCCATTATTTTTGTATTTTCAGATCTCTGTTAGAACTAGCTCAGAGTAACGTTGAACAAGATGAAGTCGAGGAGCTGGTCGATTCGTTATGTGATAAAGCTGGCGTCGCCTCCGACCAAGACCTCTGTTTCGAGAACTTCTGTCAAATATTTGCCCCTCAGATGGATAAGTTGTGGAATGCCTCGATTGATTGGAAAGGTAGGTTGGAAATTTGAAAACTAAGGATTGTCATTAGCTAAAACTAAAATACTGTACCCTGCATTAGACACCGTATATCTTATTTTGGACAGTTGACTTATCTGTATTAATTGATGGATTTAATCATAAATTTTCAAAAAACTTCATTCCCTCATTTTGGTGCAAGATATTTGCAATTGCAGATGATGTTGTGTACTGTAATAATGAATTGTGTTTTACAGGATGTAAAGATCATCTCCCATCTCAACCTAAATCTAAAGACAGAAAACAGTAAGTTTTGTTTCTCAAGTTTTTTATAAAAGGCTAATTGTTATACATGTAATTTCATGGAGTTTGATCCTATTGTCACGGACTGCTGAATTATTGCCCTTGATCAAAATACATACATCATTATACATCAAAATCATCCAAAGAAATTACCAAGTGTTATGGAGGCAATGAGTAAAAATGCTTCTCTTTTAAAACTTTTTTGGGGATTGCATTAAGGGCCTTGATAGCTGAAATGCACACTTTGAGCATTTACTTGTTTCTACATTTTCTGTGTTATATTTATTAGATCTGAAGGAGAAATAAGGCACCGTCATTCAGTCCCGAACGAGAAAAATAACGCCTCGTTTAAAAACTTTACTCAAGTATCAGTTCGGGAACATTATACACCATTTAAAGCCAAGGTGAAGGTCATCAAACATTTTATAGAGAATTATCGTCAACATATATTTTTCCTGGTTTTGGTGTTTGGGATTGTGTTGGGATTGTTTGCTGAACGATTTTATTGTAAGTAACATTGTTTTTGTCCTTGCTTCTGATTTCCGCTCATTTGTTGTTACTGAAAACCTTTGTCCATTACCATTTCTTGATTGACCTGGCTAGTGAAATTAATGACCCATCATCCGAACCTCACCCATGAGGCCTTTAGCTAATGGGTGGATGTACCAAAAATGTGTGTAGAAGCAAGAAATTTTTGGAAAGTGCAAACTATTTGCACAAATCAAATCTTGATCTTAGATTTCGTGGTGCCACAAGTGAGCATGGAATACAATATTTCATGAAAGATAACCTCCCTGAAAGGTAAAATATTCAAATTAAGTGCACTCAAGAAGTGAATCAAAGATACTCCGCATGTTATGAAAACTGTGAATACATACAAGGATTAAGATACGATAAGGGGTGGTATGTGATGTTGGGTGTTCGATATGATGATGTTGGTGATGTCTTTGTAATTTCAGATTATACAGTAGAACGAGAACACAGTGGGTTAATGAGATTAATGTCGTATGGTATCAGTATAACTCGCGGTGCGGCGGCTGCCATGTCCTTCACCTTCTCCTTGCTGTTACTCACAATGTGTCGGAATACCATCACCTATCTCCGCAGCACCTTCCTTAATATGTTTATACCATTTGATTCTCATATCTCATTTCATAAGGTTATAGCTTGGACTGCTCTCTTCTTTAGTGGTGAGTTGATTTTCTTTTATAAAAACTGTCTTGAGTTTTATTCAACTAAACCTTTGGACAACTGTTTTTGAGTTATTGCCCTTGACTTGCAATGAGTAACTCGATTTTGTCATTCAGAAGGATGTGTTGTCTTTCGACCTGGCTCGTAGTTGGACTTGATTGTTCGGAGGGGCAAGTTATATATCTGGAGGGGTAATGGTGTATGTTTTTTTTTTGTATTTTTTTGCAGTTTAGTTGGTCTGTTGATAGAAAGTTTTCAAAGGGCAGTCCATTTTTGCCCCCATCCCTCCCACCCCTATTCTTCCCCCTATTGCTACAGGCCTGCGTTTGACAAAATGATTCTAAGACATCGTTGCTAACTGAATAATAAAGTTTACTTTCAAATGTGTACTATTTTACACTTATACACGATTATTACCTTGCCTGCCAAGCTAACTTTTAAGTCTTGGTTTTTTTTTGTTATTTCTAGGTCTACATGTAATTGGTTACAGTTTTAATTTTTACCATCTTGCTACTCAACCCACCAAGTTTCTGTGTATTTTTGATAGTATCGTGTTCCGAGCTGACAAATTACCGACCTTCAGTTTCTGGTTATTTGGCAACATGACAGGTAGGTTTTATTTTGTTAACAAGCACCATCATTCAGATACAAGCACGGCCTCAACTTCGACTTCATGGCTCATTCCTGGAAAGAGCGCGACATACGGTTTGCACGTTGAAGATAACTCTTTAGATAAAATTTAAAGAGACTAAACACCTTCTGGCATTTGAATTGGAATTGTCCACTTCCATTCGCTTACATCATTTTGTAAGTTTCGGTCTGAGCGATCAGAATTGGCGACCATCCAGTTGCTAATAGTCGTCTAATATCTCGATGATAGCATTTGGTCTACTGTGGTGCTTGGAATCACCTCCCATTTACACTTTAGTATCGTCCTTTTATATGTTATTTCCAACCAATGTTATAATATTTCAGGATTTACTGGTGTTTTATTAGTCGTTGTTTTATGTATCATGTATGTTTTCGCCACCCAAACAGCTAGAAGTCATATCTTCAATTTGTTCTGGTTGACTCATAAGTTGTTTATCATCATGTACGTTCTGGTCATTCTACATGGAGCCTCCATCATCGTCCAGAAACCATTATTCTTCGCCTATTTTATTGGTCCTGCTGCCTTGTTCACTCTGGATAAAATGATCAGCTTGAGTCGTAAGAAAACAGAAATTAATATTGTTAAAGCCATCAACCTTCCTTCAGGTAAATCTTTATTTTCCCTTCTTATATCGAAAATATTCCGGAACATTTTTCACACTTACTACAAAACATGTTTGCTGAATATATGGAGAATAAATATTTCTACCAGTCCCACTTCTTACACCTACAACTGAGGCTGTCCCGTTGTGCTCCTCCCCAATCTCAGATTTCTCTTGCACCTTCTTAACATTATGCTCAATAGGGACGCAGGCTAAAGAAATAGATCAGTTGTCTGAAAATCGCATTACAATGTTTCAAGTTCTGTTTTAATACTTCTGGCTTAAGCTTCAATGAAACACTACTGAACTGGGCATAACAGACAGATCCACTTTTTGCATCTATTTCTATTCCTTCTTTATTTTCAGATGTGACAATGTTGGAATTTAAACGACCCCCGAAGTTTGAGTATAAATCTGGCCAGTGGGTGAGGATCGCGTGTCTGTCTCACGGTAGTAACGAATATCACCCCTTCACCCTGACGTCTGCCCCTCATGAGGATACCCTGAAGGTCCATATTAGGGCACTGGGACCCTGGACGTGGAACATTAGACAGACTTTTGATCTCGAGAATCTTAAAGATAACCCTTATCCTAAGGTATGACCATTTTTTCAACTTAAACTATATAATTAAACACAGAATCAAAACATTGAAATAAACAACCAACAGATACTGTGAAGATCGACCTTATTCTAAAACTTTCCCGAAAATTTTGTAAAGAATTCACGTCCGTTCCTTATTCATTCTCTATCTTCTCTGTTTCAGTTATTTTTAGATGGACCATACGGTGCAGGTCAACAAGATTGGTATCAATATGAGGTATCTCTATTAGTTGGTGCTGGTATTGGTGTTACACCTTATGCTTCCATTCTTAAAGACTTCGTTCACATGACCTCCATCAAAAATACTTACAAGGTCAAATGTCAGAAGGTATGTCGGCTAAAAACAAGAACCTTATCTTGGTCATACATAATATTAGTCATCCTATGAGCTATAGTTTACTTCCGGTTGTCCAGTTGGGATTTATATCAACGCTCTAAAGACTGTCTTCTAAAGTCATAGTTAATGTGGATCACAGGTTGGATGGTTGGAAAAATCACATGCACAAGACACTTCATGGAATTGGCCGTTATCATTAGCCAAATCCGATGAAGAAAAGTATGAAGTAAAACATTTTATAGACACAACTGTGATGAAAGATCACATTGGTCACTGGAGTCAATGGTCAAAAGTACATGCAGCTGAGTGGAGTTAATCTGTATTTCAAAAGTTTTATGTTTATGTGTTTCAGCTATATTTTATTTGGGTAACGGGAAGTCAGAGACATTTTGAATGGTTGATAGATATTTTACGAGAAGTAGAAGAGATAGACGAGAGAGGGATGGTCTCTATTGATATCTTTATTACTCAATTCTTTCAAAACTTCGATCTAAGAACCGCCATGTTGGTAAGTTGATACAAAGATAACTCTTACTCTTCCAAGCACACTAGTTGTTGCTCTACTTCTGTCATTTAACAGTTTTAGCTGGCAATAGAGGCACCCATATACTGATAATCTAAACCAGATGGCACAACGAATGGTTTTCTTGAAAATGCAACGCAGTGCTATCAGATTGGAATTCTGCCAATTCCATAAAGTAAGTATTGAAGTAAGTTCAGCACAGCTAAGTTCCCACGCCAGTTCTTAAACAACATTGTGTTGATGCTCTGAATGTCCACAATGTGTCATGTCACAACCAATATTCTAACAGTTTAGTAACTTTCTTTCAGTATGTATTTGAAGAACATTTCCAGAAGATGACTGGTGGTAAGAGTGTTTATACTGGATTGAAGGCTACCACTCATTTCGGCCGACCACAACTCAATAATATCATGACGGCTGTTAACAGAGCTCATCCTATGGTATGTATCCACAAAGGGGCACAGGTCCATTGATAGGGGTGGGATGCACAGAGCAAGCTCGTTGACGGTGGGACAAATTCCGTAAATATTTACAGGCATAAAGGAAATTCAAGGAGCAGGTTTGAGGTGTCTCAGAGTTAAAACTGATAAATTTACATACTCAGCTTCATCTGCCTATACTGTCTTTCAAAGTGGTGAATTCAAGGGCAATAACTCCAATATATAACATTGAAAATATAAGGTCTGAAGATAGTACATAATGCAATACATTTCTAATTTCAGACGCGTAAGATTGGAGTATTTAGTTGTGGACCACCAGGGGTAACTAAAGGTGTTGAACGAGCCTGTGTAGACGCCAGTAAATCAACTAAAGCTATATTTGAACATCATTATGAAAATTTCTAAACAGTGTTGGACATTGTGACACTTTGTATGGAATTGGTGCTATTTCAAATAATTCCTAGAAAATAATTTGACAATGTTTGTTGCTTCTTACGTCAAAATTGATATCTTCAGAATAACAATGGAGGTGATTTATTTAATACTGAAACCAGAATTATTGTGCTTTATTGCTTACGGCTTTTGAATACTGGCGAATTTCCCGTGATCATCAATATGTTGTCCCATACGCGCACCCGTGCACGTTGCTTCTGTCAAACAAGAAGAGTTTTATATTAGATGTGATGAAATGTCTTTATTCAGCTTTGTTTTTATTATTGTATGTACGTCATCAGAAGAAAAGGCTACTTTTCCAAGCAAAAAAGACTACATTTCTGAGCAAAGGTGCTACATTTTGGGGGTAAGGGCTACATGTTTAGGGGGTGTATCTTTAGAGTACAAGGGCTAGCTACATCCAGAACATTTTGAGGGGCAACATGCGTGATACAGGTATTTTTATTGGGTAGAAAGTCGGCCATCCATAGAATCTAGTAGGAATATGTAGCAATAGGAGAGATCCGTCAGGATGTCATAGAGGTGGTTTGTGTATCACATGATGCACAACTTAAACAGTTGTAAGAGTGATTTTTCCTACCAATTGCCCTACTCCAGTCATGCATGTGTTCTATTTTTAGTATATCATGACCAAGTCCATTTCTCCTATTAGCTGTGAATATAAACGACATGAAAGATCAGACAGGACTCTTGGATTCTACGTATTTAATAAATTATATAGTATTTAACAATAGATATGATACACTCAATGTTATACATACATATAGCTGTACAGTTTCATGGTACACACTTTGACAGTACAGTCTCATGGTACAGACTTTGACAGTACAGTCTCATGGTACAGACTTTGACAGTGCAGTTCCGTGGTACACAGTTTTGTGGTACATACTTTGACAGTTCACTTTGGACAATACAATGATTGTACAGTTTCTTGGTACACTCTTTGACAGTACAGTCCAATGGTACATACCTTTACAGTACAGTTTCTTGGTACATACTTTGACAGTGCGGTTTCATGGTACATACTTTGACAGTTCCCTTTGGACATACAGTTGCAGTTGTACAGTTTCATGGTACACACTTTGACAGTGCACTTTGGACAGTACAGTAGTACAGTTTCTTGGTACAAACTTGACAGCTGTATTCATTACAGTTTCAGTTCTACACACTTTGACAGTACTGTCATTGATGTACAGCTTCTTGGTGCCTATTTGGACAGTAGTGGTAGCTGTACAGTTTCTTGGTACACGCTTTGACAGTTGTACAGGTTCTTGGTACCTACTTAAACAGTACTCTTTCATGGTTCACACCTTGACAGTACAGTGAGAGTTGTGCAGTTTCTTTGACTGTGTTTTGGTACACAAATTGACAGAATAGTGGTTAATAATAACAAGATATGGATAAATTAATTTTGTTGTTTGGTTATAATGTAGGGCTTTGTACATATACATTCAGAATACATATGTATCTTGATATAAATAAAACAGTAACTGTACAGCTTTATTGTACATCTCTGGTGTACAACATTTTTTTTCTTGGTAAGTATTAGTTACAGGTTAATGGTACAGTTAAATGGTACTGTATCGAATACAGTATAATTAATGATAAATGTTACACATAAACCATGCATATTGACTGAAGATACACCAAATAAAGTGGGGTCTTCTTTCTGCTGTAATGTAAATGCTAAAGTGAAATGTCATTAAAGTTCATCGTAACAATTATTTTGAGACACAGGGTCAAGTCATCTGAATAATCATCTTGTACACGAAATAAAAACAGAGCCAAAATGTATTGATTCAACTGAAATGAAGTTTTCCAATGCAGAAAGGACAACAGGAGAAAACTGAAACAATCTAAAAAATCTAAAATCATTTCTACAAGTCTATTAAATATCTGTTTCTATAGCAACAGTTACTATAGTTACATAGAATTTATATTTTGGCATTCAACATAATACTTCACTTCTGTTAGCCTGTTGCCACGGAAACACAGAACTCCCTCACACAGCACTCCGTATTCTTTATCTACACTTGTAACGTTTTTATCCTTGCCTCCTCGCTTCAAAATTTGAATAACAGTCGCAAAATTTTGAATTATCTGAATCGACTGCAAATCACTTTCAATATATTTTCTTGCAGAATTCAAATAATAACTTTAAACATGCTTGCTTCTTTAAACAAAATTGCTTTCTGCCTTTGTATTCCCTTGTAGTCGGGCATAGTGGTCGAAATGTTTCCAATTTTCTGGCTGACTGCAATTCTCTATCAACATTCTTGCCACGTTTTAACTTGAGGTATAAACCCTTCGACGCAATACACGTTTTCAACCCTTTAGCTTTCTGCCTTCTAACTTCTCGAAATATTTAAACACATGTAGTCATGGTAACATTGAGCAACGACAAAACACAAGACCATAATTGTCAAATTGAGACTTCAAACGATCTGATAGCTGCAGCAAAATGTCTCAAAACACTACATGCTCCAAAAATATGAATTAGCACTGACAGCTTTTAGGTTTTTCGAAGAGATATGCCGGGTCAAAGCTCTTAAAACACTCCTCCAATTAAAATTGCTGTAAAAGCTCAGAAATTGTGATGAAAGAAGCACGTTGCGTGATAGCACTCCTCGCCAGACATCAAATCTCAGCAGACCTCAAATCTCTTGTGTCTGTTTTAAAGTCATAGCACTGAATATAAATTGCACTGGGAAAAGATCATAGAGACTCTTTTACATCGCGTCAAGAGTTTGGCAAATTTACGACAAAAGTCTCCGCTCAATCGCCATGGCGATAAAAAAAGTTGAAACCATGTCAAGATTTCAAAAGGAGGCAGATCTAAGCACAAATTAGCATCACTTGTCAAGCACTTTCATATATAGAAACAAAATGGCAGCATTGCCATAGTAACCACTAGAGATCACATGATATATAAGACAACCTGATAGTGATGTGTAAGTATGAGTTGCCATGACAACTATAATGATTTGCCGATTATAATTCTGTCACTATAGTTATATAACACTTGCCGGTAACTTGTCGAAAACGTCTGATTTATTAGGTTGAACACTACCACGTCGTCGCGGTAACGTAGGATGTTCCGGACAACCGTTATTGGCTAATAAGTCCATACAGTCACCTGATCCAGAACTACGAGCATACCATAATGCATTTCTTCCTTCGTGGTCGACCACTTTTACATTGGCGTTGTACTGAAAAATACCAGACAAAATTATAAAGATTAAAAAGAAACAGAAGAAATGGTGGTTGATGCTATGAAATTTCACCAAGACAGCAGCATAAGCCTAATTTTTTTATTTCCTACAGTCATGGGATCTTTAACCTTCACAAAGGGCCTTGATTGTTCCTTCTGAAAGATACATGGATAGCATGAGATTGACTCTTAATCAGCTTTTTATAGGTGCCATGGTTTCCATCCTTTCTTACTTTTTTTTTCAAATAGAGGCTTCTCCGTTTCACTTGACTGAAGTACTCCAGATTGCAAACTAAGGCTGTAGACTTACCCATAATAAAAGTTGAACAAACACAACGTTTCCCAGAGCCGCTGCTATATGTAATGCCGTTCTTCCGTCGTCTTTCGAATAGGGGGCGTTGATATCGTCTGGTTGGGCGTGACCTAATATAATTATAATATTCCTAATGTCTTCTCTAACTAATGCATCAATTAATTGCTGAAATTATAAATAGATTTATATTTAGTTTTTATAACAAGAGGGCAATATGTATGTTTTCTGTACAATTTGACAATTTGAAATAGACCAATAGACACAAATCTGACAATGTAAGGAAATGAGCTTATATATAACTGGAATTATAATCAAAATTATAGTTCAAAATCTTAAAGTTTGAAAAGGAAATAGAGGTGTGCAGCTTGTTTTTGTGTTTGTAAGAACCTGAACACTAACAGAGAAAACTAGTTTGGAAAATCCAAAAGAATTATTTTGAAATATGTGGCAGACAACAATGAAATAAAGGATCTAGACTTATGTCTTCACTGATCCACCCCAGCTCATGTAGCAGACGACAATAAAATAAAATGTAATATAATCTAACCTGATTAACTGGTATATCTACGTAAGGTAACGGGGGTAAAAATTCCTTCTCTTCATATTTCATACGTATAAATTTCTCTTTCTCTTCTCTACGTTAAATAAATATTATACAGAATTAAACAGATAACAATGGTTGAGTTTCAGGCCTCCTCCTTGTTTCATCATCCAGCTTAGCATCGCGTACTGTACACTCTGCAACTGAGTTTGTCAATTTGGCATCGCTTTCAGAGAGTCCACCTGGTTAATTTTATTTTCCTGTTATTTGTATTTTATATTTATTTCTGACACAAAGAGCAAGCCACCCTAGATCAAGATGCATATTTATTTCATATAATATATCATTATACCATATTACATAACACCAGGCCTTGTTAGGAAATTAACTACATACCTAGTAGATGTAGGAGTTATTTTCGTTATACTTTTCAGGTTATGTTCCCAAACAGTGTGTGCCACAGTGTTGCCAATTCCAGTCATAACTTTATTGATATCAGGTCTAAAATATACAATTTATATTATACATTAACAAGGGCAATAACTCAAATATCAAATAAATCAAACATTTCAGATTTTTGAACAATGCTGTATACAGGTGTCTTGTCTGCCAACATACAGCTACGGGAAAATATTGAATTTTATGCACAAACTGATTCTGAAGTGATATCCAAGCGCAAAAACATAACTTTCTATCGTGCAAACATACTGCTTTAGGTGCTATTCAACTAGACCCTATTTTCAGTCCTGCTGACAGACTGACATAGGGCAATAAAATGCTTCTATTTATTCTTGGGTTGTATAAAAACATAATAGAGTTACTTACGGCCATTCGTCTAAATCAAGGGACCTAACTCTAGATATATGTGTACCAAGGTTCCGATGAATACCTGAACATTCAATACAAATTATAATACCTAGGTTAATACTCGCCCAATCAGGATCTGAAATATAAATAGAACATTATTTAATAACAGAGATATTCAGACCACAGAAAACTAACAAGCTGGGACAAGTTCTCTGCAGCCCCAAGAATTTATCTTTGATTTTGTGAGCCTGGCACTCTGGCTGGTTTATGAAAATGGAATATAAATTGGACGTAAACAGCCTTTCTCTCTTGGCTTTTACTTTTCTGAGCCATCTCTACGCCATCAAAATCAAAAGGAAAATAAATTTAAAAACTTACTGGGAGCGGAGCAATCAGCACATAAATTATTGCCACGAACATTTCGTATAGTCGCGATACTTGAAGCATCAGTAGTTACTGATGGATTGTCTTTTGATTTACTGCTCTCTATAGTCTGAAGACTAGTTAATATCTGTTCTTCTATACTCTCTACCCAATTATTACGTTCCTAGAATTGACAGATTGGATGAATAAAAATGAACGAATAAATAAATAAAGACTATTTAAAATCTGTACTCTTATTCTAAAATATATAGATATGAGAATAATAAATCTACTTGTCCAACTTCAGTGGGTACACAGACTGAAAATAGGTCAGTTGACTGAAAATAGGTCAGTTGTCTGAAGATCTCTCAGCGTGAAAGGTTCTGTTTCAATATTCCTACTCACAAATATATTCATATATACATTATGAAAAAGATAAAAAAAAAACCACATATGGTAAAGATTGCTGGACAGACTTCTATATTACCCCTCGCCCTTTCCTGGTCTTGAAATGAATTTCCCTACCCCCAATACTAGTAAAAGCTAATACAATGTATTCTTACCTCACCACTGTTGGCCTCGAAATGCCATTGTTTACTGTCTAATGAGACTATCACAAATTCATACCCATCAGAATCTTTCAATATACAACAGAAAAGAAGTCAAATTAACATAAAATTCATCAGAAAATACACAAATTATTCCCAAAATAACTTTAGTCACTCAATATGATATGAAATGGAATTTTACATCGTGTGTTTCCGTGCCCTTTGATCTCCTTCTGCATTTTTCCATCATTTGACTTATAGAGATGTAGTGTTCAATGAGAGAAAATTTGAAAGGACAGCTTCATTTGACTACTGAGCATTAGATGATGTCAACTGAATTCAGACGAATTCACAGGAAAATCTCAACCTACCGTCTCCTTGACTAGGATCTGTATTTTTGACACCCCCACTCTTAGCTCGACGATGTCGTTTACGGGCGTTGGGGGTCTCGGTCTTGGAGCTCAGTGAAGAACTGTTGATGCCTAGTTTAGGTAATGGAGATGATGGAACAGAATCTAAATTAGCTGAAAAATAAATACCAGAAAATTAATAACAAAAAAAACTCTACACAAAAGTGGCAATTTAGGATTTTAATCTAAGAAAGTGATTTTAATTTCTACTATAAATAATGACAACTGTTTACACTAAGTCATATCTAGATGTAAGATGATTCTTAGAAAAATTCCCTCTGATAAAAGGTAGAAAGTGCAGAAACAAAACACACAGATCTGCATCTTAATCAGATTGAAGACAACTCAAACAAACAACAATACAACATTATAGATGAAACAATAATCACAAAATATTTACAAGCAAAACAAATTGATCAAACACAATATTAACATGTTGAAAACTGACTAAATAACCTTCTATAAAACACTGTCTCTAATTGTCAAGTATTGAGTAATATTCAAATTTTCTGCTGTTAAGGGGCTGATTAGGATGAAAACGCTATTGAGTGTTCTCTATACAATTTATAACTGTTCAGGTATCTTTGAAGCAGAGAACCATTAGCTAACGAGACTATGGGGTACAATATTTAAATCTTGGAATAAAAGATATCTTGAGCAGTCAAAATCAAATATCCTCAAATTAGCTGATTATTCCTGGCTGGAGCATTACCTTAATTAATATCTATTCACCTGATATCAATCACCTGTTATCAATCACCTGATATCACCCCTCATAATTTATTTTCGAAATGATTTCTTAGTATCAAAAATAACAAAACTTAACACAGGTGACATAAACTTCTTTTCTTTTATAGATATGAATAATAATATAAATAAATGAGTATATCAAGTGATTTAATATAAAAATGTGTTAGATTTATTAAAAAAATAAAATAAAAGTAGAAATGTTAAAGTGAAAGTAGAATGTTACTATTAATAGCTTACCTGTGGTTAGAGAAGAATTTTGTATAATTAGAGATTTATCTGTACACCCATTATTACCTATATATATACATACCACATTAATTATGCGCATAATTAACATTAATATTTACATTCCAAATACAGACAATACTTAATCAACTTCTAATTAAAATTGCAGTCTATTCATGAATTCTAGAGTGATAATTGGTCAAAATATTTACTTTTCAGTTGACAATGTCACATTTCAAAATGAAAATCCCAATTAAGGTTTGTCTGTAATCAAGGCTCTGATCCAATACATCTGTATTTGGAATGTGAAACTATATAACAGCACAACAAAAGCTAAGTTTACATTATATATTGGCTGGCCCAGAAAAACAAATAAATAAACAACATTAAAAGCAACCTAACAAATCTTGCCCTGGATAGATTCTTACAGACATCAAACTTGTAACAATCTCATTATTCTCCTAATCAATTTACATTTTATTCTTGGCAAAGGAGATCAATAAAATAAATCTAAATCAAATTATCATTTTTTATAAAGTTTTGTGTCCTATTTTTTTTGTTTCTGATAAGTTTGCAATGAGGTAAATTCAGACAGGATGGGGGATTAACTCCTCTTTTTAGATCAGAACCTCTCAAGACAAGAGAGAATATTGACCTGTCACCACATTTTTGGGTTATATCAATATAATTTGTATGAAAGGCTAATATCAATGTAGAACTTAGAGAAATGAAGGTTTCTGATTGGCAAGGTATAAATATAACTAACATGCAATATACAATATATAATAAAAACTCAAATTTCCCTTTCTAAATTCATATTTCAATTGTATTCTACTTTTTAATTCAAAGTAAAGAATGTGAAAGAGAGATATATAAGATATACATTCCATATGTACAGATTTATTGGAGATCTTTAGCTGTATTTTCAACTTTCAAATGGCTTACTGTATAATTGTTTTTCAACAATTAACACACAAGATTTAGAAATCCAAATCAATGTTTTCAGGATCAAAATGAACCTCTAACATCATTGAACGAAAAGAGAAATTTAAGTCTGGATGATCTAGACATATAATATATATAACACAGATCACATGATCACTATAGTAACTAATTAACCAATCAAAACTTACTATTTAAATTACCATTGACTTCCTTCCCCTTGGAGACCGTCCGACAGGCCCGAGGGCGCTGGCCAGGTACCTTGACTGTGGTACGAATTAACGGGATTTCTTTACCATGTACATCTTCCATATAGTCCTAGAATAATCATGAAATCAAAATTGTTAACCAATTGTATCCTTTAGCGAAACAACTTCTAAGTTAAACTCTTTGGAATCAAGATGTGTTTACTCTCATGTACGCCACCTAAAATAATCACTGCAAGTCAGTCATTTCACATAACAATCTGGAAAATGTATTGATATTACCACAATTTAATACTATACATCATTACATGCTTTTACTCTTGCTCAGTGAGTTCATTTTGCTAATAAGCCTATTTTGGGGGAGTCAACTAACTGTCATCATGTGGAATGCATATTTGACATGCTATGAGCTCTAATCAATTCTGTTTGTGGTAGTGTGTATGAAAGCAAACTAAGATATTAGTCTATGAGCTATAAGTATAAAATAAAGACATACATGTAAGCTAGGATGATATGTAATTCTTCCATCACTCTCTAATGTAACATATTTCTTCTTCCAATCTTTATTTAAACCATGACTTTTCTTATATAAATAACCCTGAAAAATAATCATTTACAATTTACATCTTTACAATACTAAACCTAGAAATTAAACTTTAATTCATTGAAGTAGCAGTGAAAACTGATTTAAATAGCATATTTTAATATCATAGACCAAAAGTTCTAAACAAATGAAGTTGATGAAATAAGGATAACTCTCTTTTTTGAAGTAAACGCAAAAACCGATATATTGTTGATACAAAGATTTGAAACTGAAGAAGATACATCATGTCTGCAATTTCTTTATTTCTAAACAGCAACCCTGAAACATGGCTTGTTGTTCGTGTGAAACTGAAAGGGTTTAAGTGAGTTGTATATTATAAGGAGATTATTACCTGTTTAAGAGGAATAGTTCTTCCACTACCAAACTTCTCTCCATCTCCTCCTCCACCTTTATCAACTTCATCTTTCTTTGGCTGCAAAAAAAATTATATTATTCTGGTAAAATTTCAGTTTGCTTTGATAAAAGTTGTGGGAATAAGTATTGAAAATGTGTAAGAGAAATGCCAAGGCCTGTGTATTTATGGTTTTTATGATCCAAGGAAATCAACAAATAGGGATACGTCCGTGAGAAATGCCACGTCCAATGTATTTTGATGAAATTAATGATTTTTTAATACATGTTTCAGTATGATTGTCTCATTTGAAGTTAATATTTTCCAAATGAATATACATTATTTACTACGTGGATTGTACATAGAACACATATAGTTGATAAACCCAGTCGCTGAGCCACATCAGCGTTCAGTGTTCTGATATATGGTAAAGAAATTTTGAAATTTTTTGGGCAGATTATATAAAAATAAAATTATGAAATGAAATAGGCTTTTTATGTAACCCTTACTTGTATCTTACCCAGTTACTATAAGTAAGATGAAATTCTAAGTGTTTTACACCTTACTGATCTATCAAGACAACATAAAATAACGAAAAATAAAGACTTTTTTATGGTGCTCAAAAGAGAAAAAGTGCTGTAGTAGAAACACAGACTGAAATAGTTCCATTGTCTGAAGATCTTAGAGTAAAAAACCCAGAGATAAATCAAAACAACATTCTTAGTTTTTATATGAACATTCCTAGAAACATAATAAACCAAATAATACACATGCTAAAATAATTGTGTTTGCATCACGAGATCAGGCATGGCATTCCAGCCTAAAATTCAACATCATGCAATATAAATTCAGTCAGTCTAAATCGTGCATTATATAAAAAATCAGTGTGCAAGCCACGGAAACTTGTGCAAAAGTTAAATCAGTTAGAACAGTTTTTTTGTAAAACAATGAAGTTGAAGGGATATAACCATCTAAATATCTATTTAGATGACTATGTACCTTTACAGAGTGAAATAAAAAACCAAGATTTTGTTGTCAGAAATTGTAACGTATAATCTGGAATCTAATAGATTTCTAGAATCTGAATGATTACTTTTATCACTGTGAAATAGCTTTGAAATTAGTGAATTACGATTTATCTTAAAGTTATGATTTTTTCACACGTAGCTAGAAATCTGATTGGATGATACGATCACTGTAATAAAATCAACCAATCAGAGTCCTTGGTATTATATATTACAATTATCTGAAAGTTACAATGTTTCTGACAATAAGACCCAATTTTATACACAAAAACACAATCAACAGCCTGGCACGTTGAAAATGGCAAAAAAAGAGCAAAAAATGTAAATCAATTTTCTTTCAAAGACATGACATCAAGTCTATTTTCTGATTTACTTATCCAGATTCATCCGATGAAATTAATTTGAATTCTAAATTAAATATGGTTCTTTCAAAGAATGAATTTTATCAGATATTATTACAAAGGAGTCTTGGGAAAACTGTGAAGATAAAGAAGAATAAAGAAAAAGAAAATGGTGCTGAAACAAATTTGCTGATCAAAGAGACTGGAAATATCATAACTTTATCTTCATTGGAAATTCTAGAATTTGTGATTCTTACATTAATTCGAAGCTCGAAGGGATAAAAGACACCTTCTCTACGAGGCAAAATTGTTTCTGGTCCCATAGGCACATTTTCTTTCTTGTCTTATCCCTAGCAAGACCTACAGAGATCAGTAACTTGCAGCAAGTTATAATATTTCTGAAAACAGTCCTAAGGCTCCAATCGTAAAAAAAGTGCAAACTTTTTGAGAAATGAAGACCAAACCGAGATTGATTGCGAAATAAGCAGCACAATTTGCATTCAAACAAGAAAAAAAAAACAGACAACAATGACAGAGGAAAAAATAAAAACAGACAACAATGACAGAGGAAAAAATAAAAACAGACAACAATGACAGAGGAAAAAATAAAAACAGACAACAATGACAGAGGAAAAAATAAAAACAGACAACAATGACAGAGGAAAAAATAAAAACAGACAACAATGACAGAGGAAAAAATAAAAACAGACAACAATGACAGAGGAAAAAATAAAAACAGACAACAATGACAGAGGAAAAAATAAAAACAGACAACAATGACAGAGGAAAAAATAAAAACAGACAACAATGACAGAGGAAAAAATAAAAACAGACAACAATGACAGAGGAAAAAATAAAAACAGAGATAGTATAAGCAGCTTACATTGAATAAATTAGAACGTCGTCGATTTTTACGATTCTGAGTAGGCGTGCTACTCGGTGTGGGTAAATCTTTACTTTCTGGTTGGTCCTGTAAATGATGACATCACGAATATATAATTAGATGTTAGTTTCAAGGGAGACAATCATATAAGCTTGGGACATATTGGTTTATTTAGATCAGATAATAAAATTCAATAACCTACACCAAATAAGGTAATGACTGTCGGTTGACAAGATTGTCATTCTTAAAACTATAAGCTTTAAGCTGTTAAATACAAGACTACAGATTTTACTGAATTTGAGCTCCAATATAATAAGTACAGTGGCAAGTGTAAAGACCAAGGCAGCACATGCTCATATTTTTTAAACACATAGTGCCACTAGGCAATTGCTTTTGTCATCTCTGCTTTTCTTTTAGAGAGTCCACATATCCAATAATGTTTATCCGCTATATTTAAAATGATGAACTCAAAATTTTACATTCTAGATTAATTCTAGTAGATTGATCATTAACAATTGTTATTTTATAAAATTCATATTATTATCTGATCTAAATTTGGGAAAGAAAAAGGGAGATAATATTCTCCAATTTTCACAAATTGATATAAATACATGAAAGCATAATATAAAATTTCATAATCTAATATAATTATCATTTCTATTCATTACTAAACTAAGCACTCAGCTTTTAAGCTTAAGCTCCACCCATCACCAAATAAGGTTTAAAATTGATACATTGTACAACATAGAGAAAACTATTACTACAAAAATCATGCAAAAATAAGGCAGAACAGAACAAAAAATTTAAAAAATTTTAAAAAATTTAAAAAAAAATACTAATCATTCATAAAAATTGATTTAAAGTATCAATTTTCTTAAATCAAAAATGACATTTATGATGAAATTCAAAATTTATGAAAAAGAATTGATGAAAAAATGTGGAAAAAAATGCTCCTGTGTAATAATTCAACCATAAAGCAACCTTTTATATCTGCCCCAAGAGTAAACTTTATCAAACATTGTTGTAGGAGAAAATGATAGCAATATATTCATAAGGCCATAAGAATTTTTATTAGAAATAACTTTAAGTACGGTAAGTATTTTTAGCTCAGCTGAAAAAGAAGTTTTGATTTGATTCATTTCAATTCATATTTAAGAACTATAAGATCTCTAACCTGTATAATTGTGTATATGTTTAACAGATTCAGTAGTGGAACTTGGCAGACTGACTAAATTGGGGGACAACTGTTGGGGTTGGATTCCAAATTCTGAAGCCCTGTGGAATTAACAAACTTCTCATGAAAGTTCTGAGGGGCTCTCCCCCAAGAAAAATTTTTCAAAAAAAATTTGGTTCATATTGACACATATTGTTTGGCAAAAATAATCAAAAATTAGATATTGAAATTTCGAAAAAATTGAATTTTTCTAGTTGTGCAAATGCCACCCCTGTATCCCCCCCTCCCCCCTGGTACTATATAACCTAAGGTCATTAGAGTTCTAACTATATGAATTGAATAGAATGGAATGATTAGAATTATTCCAGTGTTTAAAATGTAGAATATGAGATATATTAAAACATGCCAAGGGGAGATAACATACAGTTGTTAGTCGTCTACTTAATGTAATAACTACCGAGCTGGTACAGGGGACATAACTCCTCACAAACTCTAACTTACAAGAACGAGACTGGAGCGAACTCGTGTCATTCGAGTTAAAAGTGGCGTGAAAGGGCTGGTATCATGAATTTGCAACTCCATTAAATAACGATCTACCTTTTCCTAATAAAAACCAAATCAACATTTTTTTACAAAATTAAAATAAAATTAAACTGTGAAATGATATTTAAAAATTTTCATGCAAAACATCAGAAAAACAATAACAACTTCAACAAATTAATTATGGTTCTGACAATATTGCCATCTGTTCACAGACTGAAATATTTCACTACAAAATAATCATTTTTTTAAATATTTTCCTATAATTAGGTGATAATTATGATATCTATTAGCTAAAATGAAAAGAGGAATAGATAAATGACAGAAATAGTAAAAGAACGAATGAAGCAGATCTGTCAATCAAAATTCCTGCTGAACAAGAGAAGAAATAGAGAGAGAAAGTTTGAAATTGAGTAAAATCTAGCTAAGATAATCAATATGTACATATTGAAATATCTTTACTGATTATAGAAAGAAACAATTTAAATATAAACAAGTGAAATTATATTAATAATAATTAATAAACCTCAAACAACCTTCACCTCTAGTTAGTTATTATATTTTATATATCATGAGTAAATATATTTGTGCACATCAGGGAGAGTCTACTTGAATCTGAGATAGAGAATAAGGCAGGGTTTCCCCAGTATATTAGTTCAAAGCCACTTTTCATGTAAGGATTTGCTTGAATATCTCAGACCTTACACATATAGCATTGTGGTTTGGATGGGTGGATGGATCCAGTGATGGAAAGATAGGTTTGTGCATGGATGAATGGGTTTAACTGGTTGAATAAATGAATGAATGAATGAATGAATGAATGAATGAATGAATGAATGAATGAATGAATGAATGAATGAATGAATGAATGAATGATATATCTGTATTATTATATAGTTTAGGTCAGTAGATCTTGTTATAGGGTAGAACTCTTTTTACACTTGCTGACTTTTAAATCTTCATATCATTATAAATACAAAATAAAACACCAAATACTTGAATATTCTTATAATAAGCAGAAGAGGGTGTAGCTGAACTTTTTGTTTTTTGGGCAAAGAGACATAGATAGAAATGAATTTTGGTCAGTTTTTGGTCGAGAAAAACCACAACTTGATCTGACTAGATTGTACCAAATACACCATAATTTAAAAAAAAAATTTGCAAAATTTATTTTATTTATTGTGATCATGCTCTGCATCAATTCATTCAGAAAGTCTGCAGGCCCTACTAGCTGTCAGTGGCAGCGATAGACTGGGGTTACAAGCAGGGGACAATAACCGTCAAGGTTGAGATTAAAAAAACAGCAGCAAGATGCAGACCACCGTTGGAGTGCCTAAGATGGTGCATCCTGAAAACAATTTTGAAAATAGAATTGGTGACACGTTTTTTGAAATATGGGCGCTAAAAACCATTTTTCTAGGAGGCCCCTGTACCCCACTAGTACCGCCACCAGCTGTAAAGCCTGTTTTTTTAAAGACCTAAAAGTCAGCAGATGACCTGGATTATATATCAAACCAACTGTACCAACTTACAGTGAAGAAATTATTGGTTTTTGTGAACAAGTTTTTATTTTTCCAGTTTTGTAAATGTGTGGTGTGATCATATCGTAGGTTGTTATTAGATGGTGGACTCTACAGGGTGGAAAAAACAATAAAAAAACAAATCATGCTGAAACAACGCTGTTAAAAACATAAAACTAGATAGGTCTCATCTTCATAATGTCAAATTATTACCAACTTTGTCCTGTACCTTGACTGCAATAGCCGCTTTCTTGTAACACAGAATGTAGCGATTTGATTGGATTGTATGCTAGCGAATACAGCCAATCAGAAGCCTCTACAGAAAGACTGTAAACATATAGCTTATTCTATATAGACTTTCTGTAATCCAATCAAATCGCTGCATTTACAAACTGTCTTTTTTCTGATACAAGAATAGTGGCCATTGCAGTCAAAGTATAAGAAAAAGTTTGTAAGCTTGACATTGTGAAGATGAATAGGGCTGGGTGATCTCTATAAATAAATACTAATATTTCAGCTCATTCTTAAACTCAATACACCTACTGAAGGTAACTTAGACTCATAAATATTTTCAATTTATAGAGGCTTATAGATGATACCTTTCATTGAATTTAATGAGTACATGATCATAATATAATAGATTTAGTTATTAAACCTTATGGGGATGTTGACTAGACAAACCCTCATGCTAACTGACAACAGGCGTTCTCAAGATCTATATCTAGAAGTAGTGTATACGAAGATGTTATGACATATGATTAAGGATTATGTTGAGCAGTGGCGAAGCCAAAGGAAGGGCAGACGGGGCAGCCACCCACCCTCGCAGTCCCAGATGCAAGATTTTCGGGCAAAAATCTCATCACTAGGTTAGAAATTTGGGATATTTCGCCCCCCCTCGGACGTAAACTTGGCTCCACCACTGCCTGTTGAGAGAAGATATGATTATATGTAAAAATAAAAGGATATGAATTTCATTGAACATCAGAAGATATTCTCTAGTCTTAAAGGACATATACTTCAAGGCACCAAATCTTCAACAAAACCTTTTGATAAGAATTTATTATAAGTTTGCACTTTTAAATTGCGAAATATACATCAACATTGACCTTAAGATTTTCTGTGATATTGGACCAAGCTGTTTATATTGTGGCCATTGTCATATCAGAGCAATAATTTATAGGTGGTCTTCTGATGCTCAGTGTTTAATGTCTTAAAGCTATCATGGTTTAACAAAACTAATATCAGTCATTTGTTTTAAAAATTTAGAAGGAGTGTAAAGAGGTTTTTAAATCTTTTATGTGTCTCAAAGACACTGATGGCATTGACTTTACTCCAGTTTTCCAAATTTTTTTTTTTAAATTACTAAATTTGTTGTAATTTAAACATGATAGCTTTAAGAAATATGATTATGTATAACAAGTTTTAGTATCATAAGTGCCAGCTAAAAGTGAAAGTTAGTATATTAGTATTATAATGAGTTTTTAATTCAGAGTTATTTAACTATTTAAGGAGAAGGAAATTTAATTATCATATTCTTCTTGGGCCTATAAAATACTGTCAAAAATCACTGTTTTTCACCCTAGTTTTAAATGTTTCTTTAACTTATGAATATGAAGTGTGTAGTGTACTTTAGTCAATGTTAATTGTTGATATCTCACTTCTTTATGAAATGTTTCTAATCAAATTCAAGATAAATTCAGAATTAAAGACAAACATGAAGCCAAACCTATGACAAATCTACTTGCTGCTAATTGAGTTATATCGATGTTGTACCAAATATTTTTAAGAGGATTCAAACCTAAGGCACCTAGCTAATAACAACTCAACTGTACTAATAGTTTATTTGCTGAAGTATTTTGATGAAAATTTTGTACTTTATATTTCAAATTTCTAGTTATTTAAAAAGAAATTTAAAGTTTTAAGACAAAGAAGTTTACATTAGCATTAGTAGAATAAACTCTGAAAGAAATGATAAAATTCAGCTTCTGAAAATAAGAAAGTGTTGAAGACTATAAAATATAACATAGAAACAACCGCAACCCATAAAGCAGCTAAAATATCAACAGAAAATTCAAATCTTTAGTACCCTCTTCCTATATTTTACCCATACATGAGTAACAGACTTATTTTGTTGGGTTTCTAGGGTTTTACTTTATCAACTGCCCTACTGCTGGGATGTCCAATTCTACCAATTTTACTGTAACTTTTTGCTGGGGACATTTGAACATTATTTTTTGTTAATAGATCAAAATCTTTGACTAGTGATGTGAAGCTATCCGTTACTTTCTAACCTTACTGTCTCTTTATATTTTTTGCCAGTTGAATGCATCCATCTTTGATTCTTGATTGAAAGATACGAGTGTACAATTCATTCATTGAATAGGATTCAGGATTCGTGGGTGTCAAAATGGAATAAACTTTTACAGTGAAAAATTTACTGCCCAAACGCATGAAACAAAGTGATCTCTATGTGATCTCTAAGTGATCTCTAAGTGATCTCTAAGTGATCTCTATGTGATCTCTATGTGATCTCTAAGTGATCTCTATGTGATCTCTATGTGATCTCTATGTGATTGTGAACTAATTTTAAGAATTTATTTAGTGAAGTGTTTTTACAAGTGAAGAATGTACACAAAATTCGAATATTACCGCAAAACAAAACCATCAAAATACTTTCATAAATTTTGTGAACTAAATGTGAGAGAGAGATATCCTAAGTGAAGAGAGGTGTCAAGGTTTGAAGAAGATTTGAATTTTCTGATTGAAGGAAGAAAAAGTAACAAGAAACAAGAACAGTATTATTTCTGTTGTAATTCTAGTTGCAAGTAGAAAACATCACATCATAAGTAGAACCTTGGATCTAATGTTAAATTATAAATGAAATGGATTTGAAAATTCTACTCAAACATATGAACAAATCTCAGTACAGCCAAGAAAGAGACTCTGGCAGAATGCTGCACATCTGCATTTGAAATGTGAAGACTTTTTATCAAATTGGTCAGATACTTACAAATTTGGAGAGTGCACAGACCAAAATGACTGGCAACAAAATTTCATTGAACAAATGAACTCAAAATGAAGAGAAATGAGCTAATCCAAGTTTCCACTCTGACCTAATTCAACTCTATACTTGCAACTAAAACCCTACAAACCCAAATGGAACTTTCTTTTGACCTTTGAACTTACGCTAAAAGAGTTAGATTTCTGGATAACCGAACTCTTTTTATTATTTCTACGAGGGGTGACAGGTGTAAGGGAAGTAACCTCCCTGAAATTAACTCGTTCCTCCTACAATAAACAGATTATTTCATGCAAATTATCTCCCTCGTGTTAGAATTATCTCCACTTAGTAAAATTCTATCCCATAATTTTAGCGAAATCCAAAAGGTCCCTCTAGAATTGGTTTAACCACATCCAAGGTAAATAAAATTTGAAGCAAAAAATGAAAATGAAGCTTAAATAAAAAATAATTTGAAATAAAAATTGAAAGAAGCAAAATAAGACTACAACATTGCAGATATTTATAATATATAAAAGGTCAAATCGGTCAAAATTTGACTGAAATATTGAGGGTAAAACTGAAATACCCTGGTTTCACTAACAACTTCTATTTAAAACTATTCTGCTGGGTGAACGTCAGAAGAAAATCATTTCTACTATAATTGCCATGGTAAGTTTTGACAAAGTTCCCAAAAACGATTCAAGATGGCTTCAGAATCCAATTCCGTTTTGTCACACAGCAACCAATGTCCTTCATTGAGTTAATCATCTTTAACTGTCAGAGATATTGAAAGTACACAACCTGTATCATGTGATTCAACTCAATCTACCTCCCAAGCTCCCTAGTCCTATTTTAGAATCAATCAAGATATTTCAGTTTTACCCTCTGATAATTAAACACCCTGGTATCACTAGGGACAGTCCTACCTGTGGCTCCTGGGGGTCAGGTTGTTGTGGGGGTAGGAAGGTGGGAGGAGAAGGGGGCTGCTCCTTTTTCTTCCTTTCTGATTTCTCTGATTTTGATTCTCTGGATTCTTTATCTCGTGATATTCTAGGTGCTTCCTGAAATGACACAATTAATCTGTCAGTGACATTAAGGTAAAAATGCCATGCAGTGTGCAATTGGGGAAATTTTGCCAGGACAGCAGCATTAGCCCCTTTCTGAAGAGTATCTTCTATAATTTTTACAATTTACACTTTGGGGGCAGAAAAGCACCTAACGGTTTGCTTATTACTTTTCTGCACCGGGTTGAAGATGAGCAATGCCTTAGAGTCTGCAATAAGGACATTTTGACAGGACAGCGTCATTAGCCCCTTTCAGGATTAGCAACTGTCAAGGGATCTTCAATGTTCAGAGCTTCTAGAACACAGGACCTCAAAACATCCTATGCAAACAATAAGATGCTTTTTTCCATGTAAATCAACCAGGAATCTTATTTTCTATTTAGATTAATTATAATACAAAGAGAAGTCGTAACACGGAGAAGGGCAATAACTCTTGACTAACCTGTGGTGGTGGTGGTATTTGTTGTTGTTGCTGGTCACGTAAACCAGGGTTATTGGTTGTCAGGGTACCAGAACTTGATGTTGATTGGCTACTAGTGCTATGACTATCGTAAGGTTTGGTGGTACCGAATCGTTGTGAGTGATTGGGTGTGCTGGGAACTGTAGATAACATCGGAGGTATGTGGGGGAATTTAGTCTGAACAATTCTTTGGCACGCTGAAAATGGAAAATTTCATTGCATTATGAACCAAGACATAGATAGTTTTTGCTATGGTACTAGAAAAACACAAAGTCCATTTTTTTCTTCTCCTGATTGGTCTATTAAGCAAGCGAAGTCATGTAGAGTTGAATGTTTGACAACTGTTATTAATCATACTCTTTCTTTGATTTCACCTGCCAAAGGGTCTTTCACACCTGGTATATATAGGGCTAAAGTAAAAGATTTGAGGAAATAATTGGAAAAGGACCACAATGTTTCCTACTTGTCTGCATGCAGTGTGAAATGAGGGATATTTTTCTAGGGCCGCTTCATTAGCCTATTTCCAACTGTCGGGGAACCACGATCTGCACAGTCTGTAGGACACGTGGCCTCGGCTTATTGTCCTATCTGACTAGACTAGACGCATCACTGATAGGAAGAAAAGAGATGAAGAAAATTATCAAGGTTTTATCTCAAAGGATTGAACCCTGGACTTTGAGGTAAATGAGCAAGTATTTGACCAGTAAAGAGAAATGACATACCATCTTGAAAAACTCTCTCCACATTGAGACCATATGTAGCACAAGTTTCATAATAAGAACATCGTTTTAAATCATTGGCTAATTTTCTGGCTCTAGTATCATCAATAACACGAGGGTTACTTTCACTTATAGCATCTACAAAATATAAATATTATAACAGAACCTGAAACATGTTGCTATTCAGAGTTTCACTCTATCAATCTTCAGACAACTAAAACCGAACCTGAAACATGTTGCTACTATGAAAACTTCATTTTCCGTAAATGAGCTAATGAAGATGCATGTAATGTGCAATGAGGGAAATTTTGTAATAAAATACTCCAGAGAGGGGCTAGATTTGTCAACTCTGCAATTCTTTCAGAGAGTCCACATAGCATTTATATCATTCCATTCATGTCACTTTACTCCTTCTTTCTAATTCATTCATTCATAATTATATCCATTCATTTCTTCCTTAATAATGTTAAATCTTTATTCATTAGTATTCATTAAATTCATTGATGTCATTTATCTACTTCATGTAATCATTATTTCATTTCTTTATTAGTATTCTGCAACATTCATTCATTAACTCATTTATTCAATAATTCATTCATTCAATAACTCATTCATTCAATAATTCATTCATTCAATAACTCATTCATTCAATAATTCATTCATTCAATAACTCATTCATTCAATAATTCATTCATTCAATAACTCATTCATTCAATAACTCATTCATTCAATAACTCATTCATTCAATAACTCATTCATTCAATAATTCATTTATTCAATAACTCATTCATTCAATAACTCATTTATTCAATAACTCATTCATTCAATAACTCATTCATTCAATAATTCATTCATTCAATAACTCATTCATTCAATAATTCATTTATTCAATAACTCATTCATTCATTCAATAATTCATTCATTCAATAATTCATTCATTCAATAATTCATTCATTCAATAACTCATTCATTCAATAATTCATTCATTCAATAATTCATTCATTCAATAACTCATTCATTCAATAATTCATTCATTCAATAACTCATTCATTCAATAATTCATTCATTCAATAATTCATTCATTCAATAACTCATTCATTCATTCAATAATTCATTCATTCAATAATTCATTCATTCAA